GCCCTCGTCATCGTCGTCCTGGACCTCCTAGTCACCATCCCCGTCGTCTTCCTCCTCCTCATCGTCATCGTCCTCGTCATCTTCGCCGCGGGCGTGTTTCCCTCAGGAACGGATCGCCGCCTTCTGCGGGAAACCCTGAAGGCCTCGCGCGGCAGCTTGAGGCCCACATCACGTCGAATCAACGTCGGATTCACGTCGTGTTCACATTGGATTACGTCGGATCCACGTCCGATTGACGTCGGGCTCACATCGGACTACGTCGGATCCACGACGGCTTTGCGTCGAACCAACGGGGAACTCCGTCGGATCCACGTCGGATTCGCGTCGGGCTCCGTCAGATCCACGTCGGGTTTTCGTCGGGCCCACGTCGGATTACGTCAAACTCACGTCGGATTCACATCGGACTTGGGTCGGGGGCGGCGCGCGGCGGCGGCGGCGGCCTGGCCGGCTTGGGCGGCTGCGGACCCTGCGCCTGGGCGCGGGCGCCCGAAGGGGGAGAGCGGGGCGTTTTTTGCTGCGGCGCCGGGCGGCATTGTCCGTCTGCCTCGTCCGCCTGATCCCACGTCTCCCCCTCGTCCTCCTCCTCCTCCGCCTCCTCCTCCACTCGTTTTCCTTATGGACAACGCCCCCCTGTCGCACCCCGATGCTGGTCGAGAGGGCGGGCGGGGCGTTTCGCCCGAGGCATCCTCGCCACACAGGGCCCCGAGGCATAAACATTCACAACAGCTTCACGGACGGAGGGCGGGGGTGTTCAACATGCGGCCGTCGCCTTATTCTTTTGAACTTTGCAAGAACTTCACGGATTGAGAACAGGTGCTCTTCAAAATGTGGTTCTCGACTTAGCGTCGCGCACACGCGTTCCAAATAATTGCAGGAGTTTCGCGGGTTGAAGGCGGGTAGCTTTCAATATGTAGTTCTTGCCTTAGCGCCGCGCAAAACGCTTCACAGATTGAGGGCGGGTGGTTTTCGAAATGTGACTCTCGCCATAGCGCCGCGCACATTCGTGCAAGAGCTTCACGGACGGTTGGCGTGTTTTTTTTTCTGCGGCGGACGGGCAGCGGAAGCCGCGTCTCGATAGAAACTGGGTCTCCCGCCGCTCGGCCAGCTAGTCCCGGCCTCAGCGCCACCGCCCGCCTCATACAGGCCCGCGCCCGTAGACGAGGCGCAGGACCCGGACACGCGCCCCAGGCCCCGGGCCGGCGGCTTCTGGGGCTGCGGCCGCGCTCCCGTCGCCGGCCAGCGCCGCGCCAGGCCGTGCGTCACGCTCAGCCGCCACTGCCGCGGCCTCCAGGGCAGCGGCCGCGCCTCCGGCGCCGCCCAGGTGCAGAGTTGCCGCCGCAGCGCCGCCCGCGGCTGCCAGCACAGCGCCGTCCAGAAGCTCGGCGTCGAGCACCGCCGCGTCGGCTAGGCCCCCAACCGCCAGGGGCGCCGCCGCAGCACCGCCAAGCCCGGAGCCATCGGCGGCGCCGGCAGGGCCCCCGGGCGCGCCAAGGGTGACGACGCGCACCCCTCCAGCGCCGTCGCTTCCGCCCGCGCGGCGCGTGGCCGAGTCGGGCCCGGACTCGGCCAATGCCCGCGCGGGCGGGGCCCCGCCGCCAGCCTCCGGCGCAGCCTCCAGGCCCGCCGCACTGGGCGCGTCGCGCACCTCCGGCGCAGCCTCCAGGCCCGCCGCACTGGGCGCGTCGCGCACCCCTCCAGCGCCGTCGCTCCCGCCCGCGCGGCGCGTGGCCGAGTCGGGCCCGGACTCGGCCAATTCCCGCGCGGGCGGGGCCTCACCGCCAGCCTCCAGCGCAGCCTCCAGGCCCGCCGCACTGGGCGCGTCCCACAGTGCCTCCTCGCCCGCAGCGCCGCCGCCACCGCGCTCCGCAACGCCGTCGGCGCCACCGCGGCCAGCCAACGCCGCCTCGCCTCCAGCGCCGCCGCGGCCAGGGTCACTGCCAGCGGGCGCCGCAGTAGCCGCAGGCCCGGCCGGGCCACCCGGCGCCGCGCCGTCGCCCCCGGCGCCACCGAGCTCAGCGCCTCCCAGCGCCTCGAACGCGGCCACGAGCGCGGCCACGCCCGCGGCGCCGCTCGCAGCGCCCGCGGCGCCGCCCGGGCCAGCAAGCGCCGCTCCGCCTCCCGCGCCTCCCAAGCCAGGGGCGCCCACAGGCCCCGCGGCAGCGTTTGGGCTAGCCTCCCTGGCCCGCGCCGCGTCGTCTCCAGCCCCGCCAGGGGCATCCACCCCACCCGAGCCAGCAAGGCCATCCGCGGCAACCGGGCCACCAGGCCACGCCGCCTGCGCTTCGTCAGCTCCCGTCCCGCCAGCGAGCCCCAGCTCCAGCAACCAGCGATCGCGGGCCGCCGGGAGGATGTCCACGACGTCACCTGGGTGGGCCGACGGCAAGCAGGCCGACACCATGGCAGCCGCCCGGCGCCAGAGCTGGACGCCCACCAATGCTTTGGCCCGACGGGCCAGGACACCCGGCGTGGCCACGCCGCGGCGGCGCGAGGCAGCCGCTGCCATGGACCCCACGGCGGCAGTCGCATCGCTGTGCGGCCGGCCCCAGCAGCTCCAGATCAGAGGCCAGTACTCGATGCCCTTGTCCGCGAGCTCTGGGATCACGTGGGCGTACTTGCCCCGCTTCTCTGCCACCATGGCGGCGCAAGCGTCCGCCCCGCTGCCCGACGAGTCAGGGCAAGCCACGCCCACATCCAAGGCCGCCAGGCGGGCAAAAGCCGCCGAAGTTAAAACGTCAGCAGGGCGGAGAGTTGGATGCGACGGGACTAAGCCCGGAACCTCGGCGGCGGCGGCGTTGTCAGACAGGCTGGCAAGTCCGAGGAGGAGAGAGTCGCGGACCTTGCTGTGACCACGGGTGCTCGCCCCTGGTGCACACCGCAACGCATGGCGGCACTCACGGTCGAGCTCGCCCCCGCAGCAAGCGCACATGTGGCTCTCGCATTCGCGCTGCGCACATTCGTTCTAATAATTGCAAGAATTCCACAGATTGAGGGCGGGTGGATTTCAAAATGTGGCTCGTCCCTTAGCGCCGCGCACATTTGTGTTTAAACCAAGTGCAAGGGCTCCATGGATTGAGGGCAGCTCGATTCAAAATGTGGCTCGCGCCCAAGCGCCGCGCACACTGGTTTAAAACATATGCAAGAGCTTCACTGGTTCTCATGGCTAACGTAGCAAAAATAGCGTTGTGGAACGATTCAGGGGATTGTCAGGGCGCAACAGTTACGTTGATTCGTGGTGTTGGTGTCACTGGAACAGCTTTCTAGCAGGATTCAGGATCGCCAAGATGTAAGAGTAAGGTGAACTCGTGGCGATGAACTGATGAGGATGGTGTTTTAGCACGCGTCCAGATGTTCACACGGTTGTCTCCTAAGGGGGCAATTCCCTTAGTGGAAACGACCCCTTGTAGGGGCCTGTGAAGAGGGTTCTTGGAGGGAGGGTGTATTTCAACATCGTTGACAAGCCTTGGGTTTACACTGGTCCTCCTCCTCCTCCTCCTCCTCCTCCTCATCCTCCTCCTCCTCATTCTGCTCGTCCTCCTGCCCATCAGTGGCATCCCACTTCTCCGTCCCCAACAACAATCATCATCACCATCGCAATTGTAATCAGCATCGCAACGTCATAGCCGTTGCCGCCGTCATCCTCACAACCACAACAACAACAACCACAACAACAACACCACCACCAACAACACAACCACAACAATCATCACCACCATCATCATCATCGTCGTAATCATCACAATTATCAAATGATTATGATCAAATCATCATCAGCAGAATCGTCGTCGTTATCATCGTCGTCATCAGACTTTTTATCGCAATGGCCATGAACATCGTCATCGCCATCATCACCACCGCCACAAACATCGTCGTCATCACCACCAACATCATCGCCATCATCATCAGCATCCCCATCGTTGGCATGCTATGCATACTGTTTGCAAATCAGTAGTGTCGCCATCATCCACCACTACCATCGTCATCCTGACAAAAGGCACCTTCACTATCATCCGCATACGAAGCATCAGATTCCACCTATCGGCAACACAACGATGAACCTCATCATCATCCGCATCATCATCCAAATCCTATCCCTCCTTCTCCATCCTCCCAGGACTTGTCAAGAAGCCGCCAAGACGTCCCAACAAAACCCGAAGACAAACTGAAGGCTAGCCTGATAAGTCCACACAGCGAGTAGGAGAGCCCAACAGACCCTAAGAAGCAACCAGAGGCCAACAGAGCAAGATGCTTGAAGGCATCGCTTGAAGCACGAACGACATGAATAGTAAGGTTGTGCCAGAGGATAATGTAGCCTGTTCATCGATAGGGACAATGATATCTACAAACATCCCCAGGCCATAACACAGGGGGGAGGTCGTCTTCGCAGGTGATCGTCTTCGCCGTGGTCGTCGCCCAGTCGTATTCGCTACGGTAGTCTTCGACAAAATCGTCCTCGCCGCGGTCGTCTTTGCACACGGTCGTCTTCCCGATCGTTTTCGCCCGACGCCCCCCCCCCCCCAATCCGTGAAGGCCAGCCTGCCCGACCCGAAGATTTAGGGTCCGCCCGCTCGATCTGTTTGCAAGCCCGCATGCCCGAAGGCAAAGGTGACCGCCGGCGAAGACGACCGCCCGCGCAGACGACCTCTAGCAGAGACGACCCCAACGAAGACGACCGCCGAGGTAACGACTTCTGGCGAACAAGATCCCCTGCGAAGACGACCGCCCGCGAAGACACCCCGTGCCTGACGCAAGAGGAGTGCAGATTTGTGACGAACGGTGCAGGCGCTTGGACCCGAGATTGAGCATACTTATAAGACGAAGCCAGGACGAGGATAACATCGGGTGAGAATAAATCGAGAATCTCTTAAAGCTGGTGGCTCTGGAAAATGTCTCGGGCGCCGCGGCCTTCTCGGAGCGTTCCAGAAAGATATGAGAAGCGTTCTGGAACGCTCTGGAACGCATTATCCTCGCTCGTTCTATCCCCGTCCAAACTTGTCTTTTTTGGCGATCGAATCTCTCACGAATGGATCGACCATGTTCTTGATCTCATGCAGCAGCCCCGACCGAGCGTCTCGTCTTAAGCGAGCAGGGGTGCCGAGGCCGCGGGAAATCTGCGCGTCGCGAGGGCCGCGCCGGGATCGGCGGGCCGTCTTCACGATCGGCCCCCTCCACCCCCCTCCCCCCTCCTCCTCCTCCTCCGCCTCCTCCTCCTCCGCCTCCTCCTCCTCCTCCTCCTCCTCCTCCTGCTCCTCCGCCTCCTCCTCCTCCACCTCCTCCTCCTCCTCCTCCTCCGCCTCCTCCCCCGCCTCCTCCTCCTCCTCCTCCTCCTCCTCCTCCTCCTCCTCCTCCTCCTCCTCCGCCTCCTCCTAGGCCGAGGTAGCCACGGGCTCCATGCGCACGCCCGGAGGAGCGTCCGTCTGCACGCGCTCCGCCAGGGGAGCGGCGCCGGGGGCGGCCTCGATGGGCTCGACGGGCGTAGCGGCATGCTGCACGGGCTCCGTCGGCGCCGGGGGCCGCGGGTCCACGTACTGCGGCGGCGCCACCGCATAGGTGGGATCCATCATCACCGTCGGCGCAGGGGGGGCACCCACGGGCTCTGCGGGAGCGCTGGAGGTCGGCATGCCCATGTAGACTGGTGCGGCGACGCTCACGGTGACCGTCCTCTGGCTCTGGACCTCCACGGTGGTGACCTTCGGCACCTCCCTGATGACCTCTTGCACCACGATGTCGCCGGGCACGTACTTGATCACCTCTTCCACGTGCACCTCGGGCACCTCAACGATCTTCTCGACCACCTGCACCTGCGGCACGTGGACCTCCCTGACGCTCTGTGACGTCACGACCTTCTTCACCTCCCTGGGGACCTCGACGACCTCGATCTTGGGCACGTGCCTGATCACCTCCTGGACCTCAATGTGCGGCACCTCCACGATCCTCTCCTGATGGATTATCTGCGGGATCTCGACCACCTTCTCAACCTCCTGGATCTCCACCCGCTTTACCTCCCGGACGACCTCCTCGTCGTGATACACCGGGACCTGCTTGACGACCTCCACCACCTGCACGTCAGGTACCTCCACCACCTTCTCCACGTACTGGATCTGGGGCACGTGCACTACCTTCTCGACCGTCTTCTGGTGGTAGACGGGCACCTCACGGATGACCTCCTGGATCTCGACCTTCGGCACCTGCCTGATGACCTCGCGCACCTGCACCTGGGGCACTTCCACGATCCTCTCCCTGTACTCCACCGCGCAGGCGCGGGGCGCGCTGGTGGACATCGTGGCGGACATCTGGGCCAACAGGGCAGGATATTCTTCGACTGACCACCCCACCAGAGCCTGGCCAGGCCCATTCCTGGGCCCAGGATCGGCTTCGGTGCCTCCCTGGCCAGGCCAGGAGGGCGTACTTACACGCACACACACACACACACACACACATGCGACGTCCTGAATTTTCCAGCACGGGGCCCCCAGAAATGCCAACCCCTGCGCTCCCTCGTGAGCCGTCCTGTCGACGGTCCTGGGGCCCCGCGAGGGCCCCGAGAGGCCGACAAAAACGGCCACAAACCTCCCGCCCTGGCTCGAGCGCGCTGCGAGCCTGTCTGGGCACCGAGGCCCCGGGCCCAGGAGGTCGACCGGCGGGGTGGCCCGTCGCGACGCCTCCCAGAGCGGGGCGGGGCGGGGCGGGGCGGGGCACGCGAGGGGGAGGGGCCGGGGCTGCGATCAACCTTTGTGCCGCGGCCTCGGGCCAGAAGCTGCTTGCTGGGCTTGGGTGGCCATGCGGACCGGCAGGGGGAAGGGGGCCTCGGGCTGCACGCAGGAGTGGCCTCTGGGTGAGCGCGACCTCTGGTGCGCAGCCTTGGGGGGGCCGAGGGGGGGGATCACACTCGAGCGCGCAAGACGCTACTGCCGCATCGCGCCTGGCGACCGGGGGGCCACACTGGGCCCCCACCACAAAACGATAACACTCCAGCTAAAGGTCACCTTTACGTGTAGTCGAACCCTGAGATCATGGCACCTCAGTTTTTTCGAGCCGGGCATCTTCTCCCACATTCGCGCCCCAAGACCCTGACAGATCGATCCGGCTCTAAGAATGGCGCAGAAAAATGGGGTCTAGGACTCCAGTCGCAATGTTTCAGGATCCTCCAACTGTTTCGAGGCGTCGGATCTCAGGACGGGGGCAGCGAGCAGCGGCGGCAGCGAGCGGGAAGGGGAAGCAGGGAGGAGCGGGAAGTGGGAGCAGGAAGCAGTGGGAATGTGGGAGAGGAGGAGAAGGGGCAACAACAGGGGGAGACCTGCTCGGGTGGGGAAAACATCGACCTGGAATCGGCGACGTATCGCCGATCGTTCGGCGATAGGCCCCCGGTAGCGAATCCACACGTTCCTGGGCGGGGCGGGATATCGGGCCGAAATCGACGATGAATGGGCGATTGGGGGTCGGTGCATCTTCCCCTGCGCCCATCCCCGCCCAACGTCGCCCCGAGAGGAGGAGGAGGAGGAGGAGGAGGAGGAGGAGGAGAGAGGAGGAGGAGGAGGGGTGGAGGAGGAGGAGGGAGGGGGAGGAGGAGGAGGGAGGAGGGAGAGGGAGAGGGAGGAGGGAGGAGGGAGGAAGGGAGAGGGAGGAGGGAGGAGGAGGAGGGAGGAGGGATGGAGGGTGGGAGGGGGGAGGGAGGGAAGGGGGGAGGGTAGGGATGGGATGGGGGAGGAGGTGGGAGGAGGAGGGGGAGGAGGGGGAGGAGTAGGAGGAGGTAGGAGGAGGAGGAGGAGGAGGAGAAGGGAGGAGAGAAGGAGGAGGTGGAGGCGGGAGGGTTAGAGGGGGGAAGTGAGGTGGAGGAGGAGGAGGAGGAGGGGAGGTGCGAGGTGGAGGAGGAGGAGGAGGAGGAGGAGGTGGAGGAGGAGGTGGAGGAGGGAGGAGGAGGGAGGAGGGAAGATGGAGGAGGAGGAGGGAGAGAGAGGAGGAGGGAGGAGGCGAGGACGGTGAGAGGGAGGTGGAGGAGGGAGGAGGGAGGGGGTACGGGGGATGGGGGAGGGGAGGGAGGGAGGGAGGGGTGGAGGGAGGAGAGGGAGGGAGGAGGAGGAGGAGGAGGAGGAGGAGGAGGAGGAGGAGGCGGCAATGAGCTCACTGAAAACAGAAGTTCACTAAAAGCAAGAGTGGAGGGAGGGAGGGAGGGAGGGAGGATCGGCATGGCGGCAACGAGCTCACTGAAGGCAAAAAACGCAAAACGAGGGAGGGAGGGAGGATGGGGATCCGTGGTGCCTGGGGGAGAGGGAGGGAGGGAGGGAGGATCAGTGGTGCCTGGGGGGGGGCCTGCTTCCCCTTGTGGAGCGCCTTGTTTCCCCCGTGCGGGGGCGCGGCTGCCCTGCGCTCCTTCCTGTTTGAGCCCCTGCCCCCTGCGCGCTCTCCGGACGGGCGACGGCGAGCTGCGGCTGCCTGCCAGGCCCCAGCCCAGGTCGGGTACGAAGGGGCCCAGGAAGGCACAAATAGGCACTAGTCCCAGCATTCCCCGGATCTTTCGACATGTTCTGGGTTTGCGTCTTCCCCCCCCCACACTTCCCATATTTTCAAATACTTTCCTCGGAATCGGCGACTGATTGTTTCTGTGTGTCTTTCCCCTCCTGAGGATAGCAAGGCGAAGACATGACAAGGAGACACTCGGGTGAGGACAAATCGAGAATCTCTGAGATCCAGCGGCTCTGGAGGACGTCTCGGGCGCCGCGGCCTTCTGGATGGCGACGGGGACGAGCAGGACGGTCTGCAGTCAAGATGCGGCGCGAGCCCTCCGCCTGAAGAGGGCCCTCGAGACCGCCAGCAGGCGCCCAACAGACCCCCAGGAGGCTCCAATAGCACCCCAAGAGGCCCAAAAGATGCTCTCACAGGCCCTTCAAACAGTTCCCAAGAGGCTCAAGGCCCCACCCATGGACTGCGTTTCTCCTCTGGCGGCTGGCAGAATGGCGCAGGCCACTTGAAGAACATGCGCCGGCCCAGCGGGCCAGGCGTGCTAAGATCTCTGGTGAGACGATTTGATTGTTAAACTTCACGCGCGCGCGCATGGCGGCCCCTGGGTGTCCCAGTCCAAAAGGTACCACGGGCGGACCCCGGGCCCCAGGCGGTGGTCCTCACGATGCCAGGATTCCCGGGGGCGGTCCTCGGGGCCCCCCTAAGAGCGCCGCCGAAGCACTCCGAGGGACACCAAGGGAGCCCGAGGAGGTCTTTCGAGTCAGGATCCACGGGTGGCAGGTTCTGCGATGAGCGATGGCACGCGTACACCCCCAGAAGGGCTCAAGATAGCCTCCAAGTTGGCCGACACAGCCCTAGAAGCCCCCGAGAAGCTCCCAAGACGGCCCGTGGGGGGCCCAAGGGGAGGGAGGGTGACTGGTGCACCACCCATCAGCGCCGCAAAGGCCCGCGGATCGGGCCGGGCGGGCGGACCCTAGCGGGCGGGTCGGGTCGGGTCGGGGGGGCGGACCCTGACGGGCGGGTCGGGTCGGACTGGCGGGACATTAAAGTGTGGGGCGCGCTCGACCGAGTACGCGCGAGCCCGAACGGGCGGGTCGGGTCGGGCGGACCCTGGCTGCCAGGACGGGTCGGGTCGGGCGGGCGGACCCTCACGGGCGGGTCGGGTCGGGGTGGCGGGACAGTAAAGTGAGTGTGGGGCGCGCTCGTCGAGTACGCGCGAGCCCGAACGGGCGGGTCGGGACGGGCGGCGGACCCTGGCGGGCGGGTCGGGTCGGGTCGGGCGGGCGGACCCTAACGGGCAGGTCGGGTCGGGTCGTCGGGTCGGGCGGACAGACCCTGGCGGGCGGGTCGGGTCGGGCCGTCCGGGCGGACCCTAACGGGCGGGTCGGGCCGGGTGGGCGGGTGAGGCGCGCTCGACCGAGCACGCGCGAACCCTAACGGGCGGGTCGGGTCGGGCGGGCGGACCCTGGCGGGCGGGTCGTGTCAGATCGGGCGGTCCTGACAAACAGGTCGGGTCGGGCGGGCGAGACATAAATTGTTGGGCGCGCTCGACCGAGCACGCGCGAGCCCGAACGGGCGGGTCGGGTCGGGCGGGCGGACCCTAGCGGGCGGGTCGGGTCGGGCAGTTTCGCCGACGGCAGCTGGTTTCGCCGACGGCAGCTGGTTTCGCCGACGGAACTGTTTTCGCCGACGGAGCTGGTTTCGCTGGGCGGCGAAACCAGCCGGGCGAAACCAGCCAGGCGAAACCAGCCGTCGGCGAAACCAGCGGTCGCCCCACGCCCGCGGCGCCCCTCTCCCGCCCGCGACCTCCTCGAAAAGAGGGCGGGCCCGCCCTTCCTCGAAAGAGGAGGAGTGGTGCTGGTGATCACGATTGGGCTGCTGCTGCTGATGAGGATAGGGATAAGGATGCCGACTATGATGATGTTGCCGAAGAAGGTGCTGGTGCTGGTGCTGGTGCTGATGATGATGGTTGTGGTGATGATAGTGATGATGATGATGATGATGATGATGATGATGGTGATGGTGATGGTGATGGTGATGGTGATGGTGATGGTGATGGTGATGGTGATGGTGATGGTGATGGTGATGGTGATGGTGATGGTGATGGTGATGGTGATGGTGATGGTGATGGTGATGGTGATGGTGATGTGATGGTGATGGTGATGGTGATGGTGATGGTGATGGAAGTGATGACGGTGGTCATGGTGATGACGGTGATGATAATGATGATGGTGATGGTGATGGTGATGGTGATGGTGATGGTGATGGTGATGGTGGTGATGATGATGATGGTGATGGTGATGATGGTGATGATGGTGATGATGGTGATGATGGTGATGATGGTGATGATGGGATTAGTGATGAAGCCGATGATGCTGATGCTGGTGCTCATGAGGATGCTGATAATGAGAACAAGGAACAGGATCAAGGATGAAGATAATGAGGATGACGATGTTGATGCATATTGATGATGGGTGGTGACGATGAAGATGGTCATGGTGATGGTGATGGTGGTGATGGTGATGGTGATAATGGTGATGATGATGATGCCGGTGAGTAAGATGAGGATGATGGTGCTGCTGTTAGTGATGATACTGGCGACGAGGATGAGGGTGAGGATGATGCTAATGCATATTGACGATGGGTAATGACGATGAGGATGACGATCCTGGTGATGATGGTGATGGTGTTGGTAATGATGACGACGATGCTAATGGTACCGGTTATGATGATGCTGATGATGAAGATGGTCACGGTAACGATAATGAGAATGAGAATGATGGTGGTGATGATGATGGGCATGCTGATGCTGATGATGGTGTTGTTGATGATGATGACGATGCTGACGTTTGTAATGATGATGTTGACGGGGTGATGGAGGTGTTGATACTAACAATGGTGCTAATGCTGAGGCTGAGGATGAGGGGATGAAGGTGAGTGTGAGGATGAGGATGAGGATGGGGACGAAGATGCTAATGACATGTGATGTTGGGTGATGGCGATGAGGATGAGGATGAGGATCAGAATGGTGATGAGGCTGATGGTGAGTATGATGACGATAGCGATGATGAGGATGATCATGATGATGACGATGGTACTGATGATAATGATGATGTTGATGCAGGTGGTGCTGATACTGAGGATGAGGATGGGGATAAGAGTGACGGTGCTGATGACGACGAGCACGATGATGCCCATGCATGACGGAGTTCAGCGGTGACAATAAGAAAAATGATGACAGCGGTGATGGTGATGGTGACGATGAAGCTGGTGGTGATGATGGTGCTGATGGTGAAGACGAAGAAGATGCTGATCATGATGCTGGTGATGAGGCTGAGGATGCGGATGAGGACTAGTATTGGGGTGAAGATGAGGATGGTGA